ATTAAGACTGGCCGCCAGAACTGTCAGAAAACACTCCCTCAAAATTTCAGCTTTCTAGCTTCCCTGTCTCCTGAGTTAACAACTTACTGGAAAAAACTTTCACGGGCCCGTATGTGTTCTACCACGCATACCCGAGAGTTGGGTTTGAGCTGAATGAAACTTAGGTGGACGGGGTATATCCTCTCAAGATTACAGTTCTTTAGCTTCTCAGGTACTCGAGTTATCAACTTACTCGAAAAAATTTGGCGGGCCCGTACGCGGGTACCACGCTTACCCGGGGGGTGGGCTTGAGCTCACTAATACCCACTTGGACGGGGAACATCCAGATCCCCGAGTTGTGAACTTACCCGAAAAAAATTTTGGCAGGCCTGTATGCGGGTACCAAGCGGGTAACGGCGCCCATTTTGGGGATTGGGGCCTGTACGTGCATGCAGATTAAGTTCCCAAAGTTCCAGCCCTGTAGCTTTTGTGGATTTTGAGATGAAAGTCCGTGACAGACGTACACACGGACACACAGATACATAGACAGATACACACAGACAATCCCCCGTCAATATGCGTTTTCTACATTGCATAGCTGCAAAAAAACGCATAAAAATGAATGATTTCTGAGTGCAGGCTACAATATAGGTTCTAAAACTACAACAATATCCTCACACGTCATGAGTACATTGGTCACTATAAAGGAGTTATGCAAAGTGCTACAGCTCGAAAATTCAGGTAGTTAATACTTAACATATGCCAAAATTACTTCAAAAAAAAGACTTAAAATCTTCCTTGCCAAGTGCTTCTATCAGAGGAATCGTTCTTCTTGCTAGCTCAGAAGACAAAACGAACGTCAGCAACGCCATCGTGTTACTGATCATTAACCGATAGAACACTGCACAAAGTGTAACAGGGAGAGCAGCCAACTGTACTGATGGAACAACAAACTCAGTGAATCAGTAGCTGTTTCAGGTATGAAAGTTATATATTAAATGATTCATTTAAAAATCTCTTTGGAAAATTTTGGAAAAAAAAAAGGATAAAAAACGTAAAAACTTACATCAGCAAGGATGAACAGAGCAATACTGAGTGAAAATAACCGAAATGTGCTGAATGCAAACGAAACGAATGCAACGGAAACCACCAGCAGCACAATCGATAGAGCCATTATACGGAGCAGCACTTTACGCGGTGGAAATGAAGACATTAACTGAAAAAAAAATAACTGGCAACGTACGGGTTACCCGTGCGGAGATGCGTTTTTTGTATGGTTTCCCGCAGTTTTTGTTGCTACCGGCACCGGTTTTTTCGGCAAATGCTTCTAGCTTAACAAATTAAGACTGGCCGCCAGAACTGTCAGGAAACACCCCCTCAAAATTTCAGCTTTCTGGCTTCCGTGGCCTCTGAGTTAGCAAATTAGTGGAACAAAATTTTCACGGGCCCGTGCATGCGTACCAAGTATGGCTGAGAGCTGGGTTCGAGCTGAATGAAACTTAGGTGGATGGGGGTATATCTTCTTAAAATTACATTCCTTTAGCTTCTCAGGTAATTGAGTTATTAG